TACTAGTAGTAGTAGTAGTACGTGGTAGTAGTAGTAGTAGTAGTAGTAGTCGTGGTCGTAGTAGTAGAAGTAGTAAAAGTAGTCGTAGTTGTAGTCGTAGTAGTAGCAGTAGTGTTTGTATAGTAGTAGCACCAGTAGTAGCAGTAGTAGTAGGTAGCAGGTCGTGTGTAGTAGGTAGCGGGTAGTAGGTACTAGTACTAGAACTGGTAGTAGACGCACACGTCGTCGTAGTAGTAGTACTAGTAGTAGTAGTAGTAGTAGTAGTATTAGTAGTAGTAGCAGTAGTAGTAGTAGTAGTAGTGGCAACGACAATCGCAAAAACAGTCACAATAGTAAAATGAGGAATAAAACCACAAACAATAGTAGCAATAGTAGTGGAAGTCGTAGTAAAAAGGTCTTAGCCGTAGTAGTAGTAGTAGTAGGTAGTAGTAGTAGTAATAGTAGGAGTAGTAGTAGTAGTAGGTCGTAGTCGTAGTCGTAATCGAAATAATAGTAATACTAAAAATCGTTGTCGTAGTCGTAGTGAGAGTCGTAGTCGTACTAATGGTAAATATGGTGTTAGTAATAGTAGTAGTCGTAATCGTACCAGGAGTTAAACACTAGATGTGGTAGTAATAGTTGTACTAGTAGTACTTGTAGTAGTATTAGTAGTCGTCGTCGTAGTAGTAGTAGTAGTAGTAGTAGTAGTACTAGTAGTAGTAGTACTTGTACTAGTACTAGTACTAGTACTAGTACTAGTAGTAGTAATAGTAGTAGTAGTAGTCGTAGTAGTAGTAGTAGTAGTCGTAGTAGTAGGCGTAGTAGTAGTAGTAGTAGTAGTAGTAGTAGTAGTAGTAATAGTAATAGTAATAGTAGTAGTAATAGTAGTAGGAAAAGTAATAGTAGTAGAAATAGTAGTAGTAGTCGTCGTCGTAGTAGTAGTAGGAGTAGTAGTCGTAGCAGAAGCAGTCGTAGTAGTAGTCGTAGTAGTAGTAGTAGTAGTAGCCGCCGTCGTAGTGGCAACAGTAGTAGCACCATTAGGAAAGTAGTCGTAGTTTGTGATGCTGTGGATGAGTTGTGATGGTGCTGTTGATGGTGAGGGCGATGATGACGAGGTAAAAAAAACATTGGGGGGCATGCGGTTTCGCAGATCTTTCAACTTTTGTACGGTGACCTTAGCGGCGGCAGGGTATCACCTCTCGCTGGCGATGTTGGTTCCCCCCCTGCCGGAGGCACAACCACTGTGATCATCGCGCGCGTGGGAAACAGGCCCATCGCATTCTCGCTCGTAGACGGCGCCATCGCCGACTTCAAGATGGGCGGCAACGCCCATGCTCATGGGCAGCAGCATCGTTGTGTCCATGTTCGTGAGCGGCAGCTTCTTTGAGATCATGTTCGTCCGAAACTGCGCACCTCCTGTGGAACCCACGTTCGTGAACATCAACATTGTGATTCTCAAGCCCGATGGCGGGAGCCCCGTGGTCAGCACGCCCGTGGGCGGCACCTTCGTGGTGTTCACGCTCGTGGGCGACAATTCCGTGGCGCTCACGCTTGTAGGCGTAGGCGGCAAATGTGTGGCGATCGCGCTCGTGGGCGGCAACTTCGCGGTGTTCAGGAAAATGGGCGAAAACATTGTGATGATCACGCTCGTGGGCGGGAACTCCATGATATCCCGCGTTCGTGGCAGCACCGTGCGTTTCAAGCCCGAAGGCTACTTTCCCGGGGCGAACACACTCGTGAGCGGCGGCTCTGTGGCGCATGCACTGGCGAACGACTGCTTCGTAGTGTTCTCGCTCGTGGTCATCAGCTTCGTCGTCTTCACGCCCGTGAGCGGCAACTGCGTTGCGTTCCCGATCGTGGTCGGTATCTTCGGGGCGTTCGCGCCCTTGGGCGGCAGATTCGGGGCGCTCACGCTCGTGAGCTGCTGCTTCGTGGTGTCCACGTCCACGCTCGTGGGCGACAGCGTCGTCGTGTTCACGCTCGGGGGCAGCAGCCTCGTGGTGTCCACGCCCGTGGGCGACAGCAGCCCGTCGGCGGCAACTCCGCGGCCTTCACGACCGTGTGCCGCGGGTGCGTTGTGTTCACGCGCGTGCCCACGCACGTGGGCTTCAGCTTCGTGGCGCCCACGTTCTTAGGCGACAACTCCGCGGTGTTCGCGCTCGTGGGCGGCTGCTTCGTGGTGTTCGAGCTAATGGGTGCGAGTTGCGTGGTGTCCACGCTTGTGGTCCCTTCGGTTCCTGAATGGTGGCGTTCGTTGGGCCTTCACTATCAAACTCACCGTCCCCATCGCGACGTGTTCGCCCCTCGGGCCCCTAATGCCTGGGACACGACGCCCCTGTCCGACTCGCAGTGCTGCGGCAGGCGGCGGGGTGCAGCAACACTCGCCGCAATGCGCTGCGAGGTTCCGCCCAGTGTTGCACGCCAGCGTGGTAGGCTCCCCGCCTGTGCCCACACAGGCGTTGATTGCGATTCGGCAGCCATGCGGCCCCAACTCGCCACCATCATCAGCAGCAGCGTCACC